AAAAAAAAAAAAAAAAAAATTAATTAAAAATAATAGTTAATTTTTAATAAAAAGAAAATCAATTAGAATTTGTATATATATTTATTCTTATATATAAAAGTAGACACAATTATTTTCTTACTTTGAAATATCACATATAAAAAGTAAACTCAAAGAAGTGCCACAAATGTAAATAATATGATTGTCATTCGTAAAACTAATTGATAATTGATAAACTAATTTAGCTGATAAGTGTATCTTGTAGCATATGACTTGTAGTTAAATGTTAGTTTATATGGTAAACGTATTTGGTAAAATTAACCGATAAACTAGCTAAAATAAAAATTTCAACAAGTTTATTTAAAAAGTTATACCAAAAGATAAGCTACAAGCTAATCTATTTAGTTACCAAACATAATAGAAGAATAAATAAAAATATTATTTTAAATTTGTCCTCAAACTTTTTATTGATAGGGATAAAACTTCAAATCCACCCGAACTACCTGAAATTACAAAATCTCATATGTTGCAAAGTTTTATTGAAACGGTCACTCAAAATTCTAGACGAATATATATAAAATTACATTTATAAGCTAAGTTAGACTACTCTACTTAAAGTATAGATTTTCAACTTGGACCGTCCCGGCGGGTCGACCCGGAGCCAGAATTGGTCTGACCTGGATGGGATGTTCGGACCGTGTAACAATCGACTCGGTCAACCCGGGTCATTCCGGTTGACCCAGTCTCTATATATATTTTTACCTTTATTAAAATATTTTAATTCAAAAAATAAAAACTATGTATATATATTTATATAGTAGAAATTTATTGTGAGATACAATATTATTAACACTTTGATATACAAATTTTAAATACAAATATTTTATTTTGTTTCTTTTATGTAATTTATATGTAAAAAATAATGTATATATAATTTTAAAAGTTTTAAAATTAATTATTCGGTTCACTAATTGACCCGGTAATCCAGAGACCTGCCTGGGTCGATTCCCGAGCCAAGTTTAAAAATTATGACTTAAAGTCTATAATATAGAATAAATTTTAAATCTAATTGTTACTCAGGCAATTGACATATGATTCCAAATTGGGGAAATTCTATTACAAGACCCAACTTTTTATATTTATATCAACTTAAGGACTGATTTTTATTCTTTCTCAATAGAAGACTTACACATTTTAGATTATTCTCAATTTGTGGCCTACTTTTTTAGTTAGCTTTCATTATAAGACCCAATTAGCTTTACTTTTTGATATAAATATGTGAACCAACTATTATGTGAACAAAAATATTATTAATAATTTTTTCTTGTAATTTATATTTTGCATAGTTATAATAATAAAAATAATATATATCTTTAGTAAAATTACATTAATAAGAGAATGAAACTATATAAATTACAATTATGCTAAAATTTAACAATTATTATTTTTTATAATTGATAATTTGAAAAATATGAAATTTAAATATTATTTTTATTAAGAATATAAATATGTAGTAAAATAAAAAAAAAAATATTTGAATAATGTTGCCTTTATTTTAGTTTCTTTCAGGATTTTAATTTTTTTATGCAAAAGTTAATGCCATAGTATATATTTAGTTTAATAATAAAAGTAATATTTCTATTACATGGTTTTAGATTCACGTATCAATTTTTTTTAATATAATCATTATTAAATTTTTGCATATAGATATATATATTTATATAGATTCATTTTTTACCAAATTAATTTTTTTTATAGATATTTATTATTTTTTATTATAATTATGTAAAATATAAATTACAAGAAAAAATAACATTAATAACATTTTTGTTCATATAATAGTCGGTTCACATATTTATGTAAAATGTAAAGTTAGTTGAGTCTTATAATAAAAAGTTAACTGAAAAAGTAGGCCTTAATTAATCTGAAAATAATCTAAAAATTTAAACCTTTTATTGAAAAAAAAAAAGTAAAATTCAGGATTTAAATTGATAAAATTACAAAAAGATTAGAACGCTTCCCTTCCAAATCACTATTAATTAACGTATACTTCACTTCAACAATTGACTAAGTGATCTCGAATAACATGTATCTTAGAACTCATTCTTTTCTTTTCAACGAAGTTGTGAAAATATTTCCAGAAATAATATTAATTTCCAGCATAGAATCACATTCATTGTTTCACTTATTGTCATTCAAAAAATGCTATTGCACCGTTACGGAAACATTCCGATGGGATTTGTAACCGTTAGATCAACTATCATCGACAAATACATGATGATCTAATGGTTACAAAATCTGACGGAATGGTTCCGTAACGGGACTGTAACATCTCCCATTGTCATTCTTATATTATAATCATTAATTGAATTGATTATAACTTCGTTTAGAAAATCCAATAAAGTGTACATTACTGAAACTTTCATACCATAATTACATTACGCATAATCCAATTTTTTCAAATCAATTAACATCTGATTATCACTTTCATACCAAGCAAGATGTGAAAAATCAATTAATTTTGGTTCACGTCTTTGATTAATGCTAAAAAAATATAGTTAGATAGATTAAAATATGTTTTATTATGCATATTTAATTCATAAATGCTCAATTAATTTTTGGAAAATACCACGGTCTCGTTACGGAACCATTCGGTCGGGGTTGTAATCGTAAGATCAACTATCGCGATAGTTAAATTATAATCTAACGGTTACAAACTCGACGGAATGGTTGTGTAATGACACTGTAACATCTCCCTTAATTTTTATTAATTTTTATTATGTACTTACTCTTGACAAGAGGCAAATCAAAGACTGCATGTGATTCCTCGCCACGGAGTCTCCCACAAAAGCTATCGACTTGCCGCTGACAAGCTCCAAGAATCGGTTCGGGTCGAAAGCGGGCAGCTCGCAATCATCGGGCTTCCATCTCCATTTCAAGAATTCCCTGTCGGGCCGCCCGAACTTCAAGCAGTTCTGGTGCTCCTGTATCGCGTTACACGTGTCGTTCGTGTAATACGGGCCCTCGGGATTGGGGACCCACTCCCCGGAGAACAAATCACATTCCTCCTCGTCCAATAGTTGCGATCTCACCATCTCACGGTCATTGGGCCCAAGGGGCCGGTGTTTGTTCCTTTCTTTATGGTGGGCCGCTGGCGCACGGCCCACTCTTTTCTTTCTATTGGCCCGCTCTTGCTTCTTTCGGACCGGATGGTGCTCGGTCGGCGCGGCCGGTTGATCATTATTATTACATTCTGCGACAACCGAGCAATTAGTTGGATTGTTTTCGGATATTATTTCTTCGGGATGAGGTGTTTCGAAAGGTTTGATTGGTTTGTCGGTGGTGTCGTCGTCGTACACGGGCGATGTGTCGGATAATTTCTTGGTGGAGGAGTCTCTAACGGTGGGATAGTACAAAGGGATTGTTAGAAGGATGGTTAGGGCTATGAGAGGAGCGAGTTTTGATGTTTTTTTTCTTGCTTGATGATGAGGCTTTCCTATGGGAAGTTCTGAGGCTTGAAACTTCATTTTTTTTTTTCAATTTTGTATGTGTGTGTGTGTGTGTGTGTGTGTGTGTGTGTGTGTTTGTGTGTGTGTTTTGGGTTCTAAAAAAAAGTGAGGGAATGAGGAAAATGAGTTGAAGAAGAAAGGCCTTTTTCTTCTTTGCGAATTACGCGGAGATGTCGTAAAATAAGGGGTGGTTTTCAATTTTTATGGGGGTTGTGTATATGTGTAATGTGTGGTGTGGTAATTAATTTTAGTAGAAAGATATTTTTATTTTTATAAAAGAAAATTTTAACTTTTGTAGAGATATTTATTAGCTGGCTAACTAACATTTTTGTAATTCCCAGTCTTTTTTATTTAATAAAGTAATCTTTTAAAATTATTTACTGAGAATAAGTATTATTAAAGGGACATGCTACAGTCCCGTTAGATCATCATATAATCATCAAGTATAGTTGATTTAACGGATACAAACCTCGACGAAATGATTCCGTAACGGGACCGTAACATTTTCTATTACTAAATAGACTTGATTTTCGTATTCGATATTGCAATGCAAATAATTCTCTTGGTTTGCTGAGTGGCATCAATCGTATCGATCCTATCAGTCCAATCGACTGGTGTTGACGTATTCGATAGCAAATATTTTATTCAAGTGAATTTGACTGGTTATAAACTGGTTCTCGGATCATCCGGTCGGACTATGTTCATCCCGGTTTAATTTAAAAACAATGGGTAAATCATGATTAATGTTGTTTATATATATATTTTTTTGGTACAGGGACCTTCCGATTTCTGGATCCACAGGGGAATCGACTAATCCAAAATCGAGCCGGGTAGGACCACAAGGGCGGCAAAGCTCTCCCTCAAGAGTTTTAACACTGCTGCATTCCCAGGGCTCGAACACGAGACCACTGGTTAAGCTGGAAGAGACCCAAGCCATCTCATCCAAACGCTCTTGGGTAATGTTGTTTATATATTTAATTTATAATACAATCGTAATAATTTTTCTTGTGTATTGCACGGGCCACGCACTGCTATCACTAAACCAACCCTTAATTATATTTAATTTCAATTATCCGAATTAGGTTTTAGATGTTAACAAAAATTGTACAAATACCATTTCATAGATAATTAGATAGTGATGGATGAATTAGGACAGCAAGATTTTTGAGAATCACAACTTTATTCCTTACCCAAGTTTTAAGATCTATCCCAAAGAGAGAAACTCTATACCATAAAGAAGAAAGTTTTTTTAAATTGTCACAGTTCTTTAGAATAAAATTAGTTGCAACATAGAAAAAAATAAATAAATAAATAAACCACTTCTTAGTTATAAAAAGACAAAGTGATTTATAATATTCTCTATTGTTTCAGAAAAAAAAAAAAGAGACTTTCAAAAAACAAATGTGTGAATAAAATTAGTTTTGTACTTATTTTTTCGATTCTATTTTTTGTAATTGGAAGACAGAACATTCGCAAAATCATTGTAATGTGAATGAAGGTTGACAACTGCAGTTTAAGTAACTCAAAGATTGTTGGATTCTTAAAATATTTGAATTTTTACGAATATTTGTACAAGTGAAATGTGTTATATTCATGTATTAGGCATGCTATAACTCTAATAAGGTTTGAGGGTATGTCAGACTTAGGAACAGGCTGAAAAAAAAAGGACATGATTTAGAGTCCGGATAAGTGTGTATAGGCTCGTAGCTCATGGGCGCGCATTTAGCTCCTTTGCGCCCCCGACAGTCCGTGAAGCCAACTCGCGGTCATGACCAGTTTTGGGATGTCTGTCGCGGAGCTCGTCGTGGCACACGAAGACTCGCGACCTCTTGTGACCATAAGATGTCTTTCAGCTTCCAAATGCGTTCGATGTCATTCGGGCTCGTTTCAAAAGGTGTCTTTTGATATTTAAACCTCAAGTAGTTATTTTTCTACATTTATAAATCCCCACATAATTAATCATTAGTAACACATACAATTTAAGAGCTCTTCCATTACCTTTTCCAAAGTTCATGTAAGCATATTGTGTTTTTTGATTTTTCGTTAAGTTATGAGAGTTCCAAACAACATTTTTGTTTGCGAAGTCTTGTATATTTAAAGCATCGCGATATACAACTCAAAAGTCGATGTACTTTAAAGGAGCTTGCAGTTAACCATGGATATTTTACAAGGCAATTCCGTCTTAATAAGAACATAAATTCTTTTGTGCCTCGACTTTAATTTTTGTCTCAGTTTTCTTCATCCTTCTTAAGACATTCTCTTGATATTCACATACCAAACAAACAACAATCTTAAGACAATTTTTTTGTGAGTTCATAAGACGAAAACTAAAGAAAATCAAAAAGTCTTCTTCAAGTGCTCAACCGACTGTTGCAACAGCTACTAATCCGTTCACCTCGATGGTGGCCGCCCCCATCCAAGGCTAGATACCGTTGAAGTTCAATGGGAGGTGGTAGTCAAATATGCTTTTCTACCATTCAACTCTCTCCATTTCTTTCGAATGACTCTTTGACCGTCCCCAAAAGAGAGACTGACAACTTGAAATTTATGGCCTAAGATGCTTGACATCATAGTGATTCTTGTAAAGAAATTACATTATTAATGGACTAGAGGACTCTCTCTATAACGCCTATAATTCGCTTAAGACAACCAAGGAGTTCTGGAATTTCTTGGAAATGAAGTACAAGACGGAAGACGTTGGGATAAAAAAAAAATCTAGTCAGCAAATTCCTAAAGTACTTGATGGTGGACATAAGGACATTACATCGGTGGTTAGCCAAATCCATGAGATTCAAATAATCTTTTCCAATTTGTTGGCCGAGGATTGAATTATGAATGAAGCTTTCCAAGTCACGACGATTCTTGAAAACTTACCCCCCTTTGAAAAGTCCTAAAAAAACTATCTTATGCATAAAAGTAGGGAGATGACATTTGAGGACTTGATAGATTTTATTCAGATAGAAGAAGATAATTGAAAATCCAAAGTATTGGACACATCAAATGTGATGAGGCAATGGCAAATTTGGCGGAGCCGAACTCAAGTTAAAAACGTAAAAATCTTTTTCACAACAAACTGAAATGGAATTCCAAGAATCCAAGGGATGTTTTTACGGTGGTGACAAACTAGGCACTTCGACAAATGTTGCTCACTTTAAATGATAGTGTTCATTGTCGAGGACAAGATAAGACTTGTTCAAAGATCGATCTTTCATAGTTCGAGTACATACTTGATTAAAACAAATATGTGTTTATAACATATAAGAACTAGAGCACTCGACTCATAGGCAATCATAAACATCATCCTACAACCCAAACTACAAAAGAATGTACAAATGATAGAGGAACTTGTAAGTGGTTTACTAAGAATGATTATTTAATTTGTCTACTTAAAGAATGATTACTTATTTTATTTCTTTACAATCATTTGAATGATGCTAAATTTTGGTAGCATGTGATCAGTTTGACCCCATACTAATTTCTAATATGACTTGAATGCAATTCCAACTCATTTATTACACAAAAGCGAATACAAATCCAACAGACTTCTGAATGGGGTCGAAGAACTTCCTAGCTACAGTTCCAATTTGCATTTTCTAAAAAAATGCTGTAATCATCTAATTTGAGGTCATCATCAAACCTTGAGAAATCCCTTAACAATTCCCATCATCTCACTCCCATCAAACCTCCCAAGACACCCTCTACCAGCGGCTATCTCGTTGAACTCACAAACACCGTCGCCCTTAAATGCCCCTCCCGATTTCCCTTCATAGCTCACGTAGCGACTTTCCAGGTCATCACTGCCTTCTTCAACACTAGGAAGCGGGAAAGGGTCCAGAGAAGTTTCTAGAAGGTGGGAATCCCCACCTACAGCCCCCACAAAGTCCTTCAAACGGCAGAGAGTGAACGGGACGGGTTCGAAGCTGTGGTCCCCGTACTCGACGGGCGTGGAATGATCGCCCGTTATGCAAATGTAGTACTGTAAAGCACCAGAAGAGCTCGACTCGGCTTGCCAGAGGAGCTTCGCCAGCTGTCCTATGGCCCGATCGACGGCCTCCAATCCTCTGGCTTTGAAGGTACTTGCTTTATCATGCCCAGCATCGTCTATTGCCTGCATTTGAAGAAGTTCAGGTTGTGACGTGTTTGGAAAAATGTGTAGACATTTTATTTAATTGAGTCTGCTAATAAGAGATCACCTTAATGTGAAGGAAACCAAAATCGTAGCCATTGGGTTGACCAGGTTTATGTTCATCCTCCCCAGGTACAAAGATATTGGGGCACGCTTGAAAAGGAGCCGATAGCGCACTGGCTATGGCAGCAGCTTTGGATGTCAACAAGGTCCTGTAATCTCCTGTGGCCCCGGGAGCTTCTAGAATGTCGATACCAAGAGATAAGCCCAATCCAGCTATAATTTTGGTAGGGGCAACCATACATGGCCGCAAACCGTGTATCTTTTCGAATTGAGGAACCTTGTTTGTGTAAAACAAAGCGGATAATTACAAGAGAAAAATGAAAAACGGGGTTCAGTCAATTTATTACTAATTTACAAAAGGAGAAATTACGAAATAAGTCACCACTAGTTTTTCAAATTTGCTCACATCATATTTGTTAGTAAATTCGAACCATTGAAGGTGTATAGCTAATGTTGAAAGACGCCTGGACTTTCTAACTTTCCATGCAAATTGAGCTACAACTATTAATACTCTAAAACACATAGGAGCAGGAAGCAACTATGTTCAGTCCATTTTCCCTTTTTTAGTTAACTATTTAAAAAACCAATGGTCCTTAATGTTTGCTTGAATTTTTTTAGATAATAATTGTTAACAAAGAATGGACATGTTTAGGGTAAATCGCATACTAGTTTGTAATTATTCCTACATTTAATATTTTTTTTTCTTCCATCAAATATTTAATCCGAGTTATTATATTCTACAAAACAGAGAGCCGAGGGAAATACAGACAGATCATGGATTACCTCAATTCGAATCCCACAACCTCGTAAAAGGACGACATTAGCAATATTCTTCCCCTCAGCAGCCCTTTTTGCATTCACGGGATGAGCAACCAAAATACGAGATATCTCCCTCGATAGCTCGTTAACAACATCAGCTGTGTTTTTTGCTTCATCAGAATCATCGAGAGCCTGAGCTTGTAAAAGCAGACGGTTATCCTTCAAAGGGTCAGTTCCTGATATGTTTCCACTTAATTTTGGTCCTTTTACGACCACCCCACATCTATGCTCAGTCGCATACCTAAAAACCACAAAGTTTCAGCTTCATAACAGCAAATGTTCTCCGAGGGAATATTTACAGATGCTCCTTCAAGTTTTGGTCTTATTAAAGAAAAAAAAAATGGCAATAATTTTATAGAACTACAAAACCCAGCCGTGAGGTTAACTTTGCGTTACATTTAGTTGTCACATGTGGACCTAATCAAATATTTTTACAACTACAAATCTCAAGTCTCAACTTTTCTGAACATTTCGAATACGCCCATATATTCGTGTTTCTCATTTTACACGTTATAATAACACCCCTCAACTTTTGCTAGAAATCACAAATAGCCAGATGAAAAGTTGACAAACAATATTTAGAAAAGGGCGGGACAACTGACATCAACTAACAGCGGGGGCATGACGTAATACAAAATAAAACTTTTTCAATTCTCCAAATAAGCTTAGGTTTTTCTTTGGATAATTATCATAAACCTTTAGATAGCATGAGTAACAAACTAACAATCCCCTACCTGAGCTAACACTGGAAACCAATTGTAAGCTTGACTTGGAAGTTATAAGAACATCGGTTAAGTTGGCAGCAACTGGAAACAGAAAATACCTGACTCTAACCTCATATTGAGGGAAATTGGGTAACTTCATTCCATCCAAAGCTGCACAAAGAATAGGCCCTTCTTCTTCAAAATGTCTATCAGCCCTCCTGCTGTTAACCACTCCAGTTTCTGCATTGAGGGTTGCAAAATTTGACTGAAATACAAACAAAAGTCGAACCTTGAGCTCCAGCCATCTCATAAACGTATTTCAGAAGGAACAACACATAATTGTGAGTGTAGATCACATGAGTACATTATATTTTTGTAAACTAGACACGAAGAACAAGTACAGAAAATCTGGGCCGGCTGGAATGACATGAATAAGGCATAAAAGTTGGAGAAGTAAATCATAAACTAATACACTTGTAAAGATCTTTCATTCTTGTACATAAGCCTCTGTCCATCAAGGAAAGCAAAAGGAGTCTTAATCTGTGCTCGACAGTGTTTTACTTTAAGCATAATCTGAAAAGATATACAAAGGAATTGAAAATGATTACCTAATCTAGAATCTCTTAGAAATAAGATACTCCAAGTATTGAGTAACAAAGAAACTGATAGTTTCATATGAACTTGAAAACTCAAAGTCCAACAACAACAACAACAATAATAACCATCAGCTTCAGTCGGAATTTTTTCACAAAATCACGAGATCATGTATAGACCTACTAAAACCAGGATTAAACAACTCAAAGAACATGAATATTGTATGCAGAAACAGAACAAAAGAGCAAGCCCATCACCTTAAACGCAATGTCCCCTGGCGACATAGCTAGGCCTGCACCCATTGACTCAAAGGCACCTCGGCCTCGATAATAAACCCTCGGATCATACCCCAATAGAGAAAGATGCGCAGTGTCACTCCCACAGGCCAGCCCAACTTCAACAGGATCCATTAGCCCATTTATTCCAGCAGATGCAACGGCATCCAAGTTAGGCACATTCGCCACTTGCAGAGGAGTCTTGTAACCGAAACGTGGCAGTGAAACATCTCCTAAACCATCAACCAGCACGAAAGCTACTCTTCTCTTAGGCTCATCTAAGTTAGCCATTCCTTTCCCTTTTCAGATCGTGATAGCTTGTTCCTTTTATGCTCTTTTTTTTCTGAATTAACGGGAAATGATCCAGTATTAATGACAACAAATTGCATTGCAAGACTAACTTTTCAATCTTTCAAAAAAATACAATTTTTTTGAATTAAATCAAGGATAAAATTGCCCCATAGAGCCTGTTGAGATTCTTGATTTCAGATATCAATAGTACTATCTACAAAAACAGGAAAAAGGAAAACACAATCACATAACCAAAACTTACAGCACACAGCACAGCACATTTATTCAATATGAGAAAACGTAAATGAAGAACACTGATCAAACATTCTTATTCAACAGTATCAAAAGTAAAAAAACCTGGCTTTGTACTCTGCAAGATGGGTAATTTCAGAATCTGACATACAAATCGAGCGAGAGGTGGGAGTGTGTTGTAGAGTCTTTTTAGGGGGTATCGTTTCGATAGAGAAAAGGAACATATTCCTTAGATATGGCCTAATAGCCAGAAAATCAAAGAGTTCTTCTGTTTTTTTTTTTT